TTGCCAAAGTTCTAAACTTTTACCATTTGTTAATCACATCGACTATCTCATTTACCCCTCAAACACCAGATGAACTTATCTTAATTCATACATTAAATCCTAAATGTCCACAATGTTAAAAAATCATGTTTACAAACTCAAAGTCGTCTACCAATCGAGCCATAATTTTCTTCTTAACGCCGCTTTTAAGAATCACACAAAATTCACTTCGACATCATTATAGAGCAAATAATTTATAATTTGAAGGCACACGTACATATTAAACATAACATGAACAAATGGACTCTGATGTTATGTCGACTCTCGTTCCTTCTTTGCCTTTGAATGCTAATTTTTTCTGCATTTGTTGTCGCCGCCTCATGTATACGTCGTTTAATAGGCAAAAAAAAGTAAATATATCTTTATAGATACATAAATTGAAATATGTATGGTGATCATGTCAAAATCGTCGTAGGTTTCACGCTTAAAAAGAGTGCTAGATATAAAGAAATATATAGACACAGACAGAGAGTGAGAGAAAGGAGAGACAGAGAATTTAAATTATCGACAGTTAAAAATAATATGAATGTGCTGTTATACATTCCAAATGGAGTTGAATGAAAGGAATAAAAAAAAATAGAATGACGTTGTGTGTGGCGCTTGACAAAGCCAATGGATGGGCATTTTTAATAACAGACATTAGTTTATGATTTATGTTTATTAGAGGCCTTTTAATGACTTTCAAAAAAAATGTCAAAAATTTTATTTTGTGTGATTATGTTTTTAATGGACATGCTGATGCGATTCGGAAAGAAATTTATACGTGGGCGGATAAGCTTATCACTTTTAATCTACTGTTCACGAAAAAAAAATAGAGTTGAGGTTCAATCGAGATATTTTTATTGATTGCTGTAAAATTTTATGGAATTATTAATGATGGAATGTCATTAATGGATGTCATGTTGTGGCTTATTTATGAGAAATTGAGCTCGATTTTTAAGGATGCAAAAATTAAAAAAAAAACACAATGTTAGACCACTATAGGAATAGAGGTGAATGAAATTTAATTTGCATTGAATTTGAGAATCGAACTCTGGACTCGTATAATAGAGTCTTATAATAAACTCTATATGATCTTGATTTGATCATATTTAATTTTAAAATAATTTGACAATACTTCATATTTAAAATCTTATAAAAAATTTAATGGAAACCTAAATATCATTCCCGAAATTATACTTCAGTATTCAGCCTTGCGAATTTTAAACCCGTTTTTGAATCAAATCAAAACCACCCCAAATATCACTCAATCTTCACACTAGTAATTTCAACAAATTCTTTAAAAATAAATAACAATCTTCGTAAAAACAACAAGCAGCCACTGAAGGGGGATCACTGAAAAAAATATGTTTCATTTCACAAATTATCATGATATCTGTTAAATGTCAATCATATCGATTACTAGTCTATTAACCATATTGACATGAATCCATTCAATGTTTGTTTAATTTGACAGGAAACGAATCACACAATTCCATATAATAATTTTAATCTGATAAGGAATTTCACATTAGGTTCTGATCTTTGTTTTATGGTGTCGTAAAAAAAATTAAATGAGCTCATGAGCATTAAAAATATTTCGACACAGAAATAAATTATTGTTTGCGATCAGTAACAGATTAATAGGAATTTATGACTAAACTAGCAATATGAGACAAGTCAAGACCTCCTCTTATTTAACTAAGCTGAATAATTTGAATGTCAATTCCATAAATTCTTCTTCAATTACTTTTTAGCCTTCATATCTGCATAAAATGCATTAATTCAATGAGCAATCTCCTTATTGTAATTAATTTTTCCATAATAAAAGTCATGCCATACCCACCTGACTGTAAATCTTTTGCATCTCAAAAAGATTCTTGCTTCCTCAATCAAGATGTCCACCCCTTTTTTTTTACCTTCTTGTGAATTTTTTAAAGCGAAAAATATGTTGATGCCTTTTTATAATGAAATTTATATTAAGCAAGTAGGCAGTCAGACAGACAACCTCACTCTTAAATAAGCGTAAAGAAATATTATTTTATGTCAATTTATATGCATCGACATTTCGCCCCCTTTATTTTTTTTTCTGCAAGTCGTTCCATGAATTAGCAATGCATCGATGAAACTTTTATCATATTGGCATTCGACTTTGAGTGTTGAAGAGGAAGAAAAAAAGAATTTGTGGAGCAGATAAGGCGGCAACAAAAAATAAGGAACTTGTTTTCACATGATATCTTTCGTTATAAAATGCAATTTATTTATTATTTGCAACAGGCCAATTTTTGTCTTTCTGCTGCGGTACAAACATGCGGCTAATGGACCTTGTTACTCTTTTTTCTTCAACTTGCCAGACTACCTACATTTTATAATGCATTGCTGTGTGCAACTTTTTATATTTTATTTATTTTCTCCTTCTTGTTCTCCTCCTTTTGATTATTAAGTTTTTATGCGTTGATTACTGTAGCAAGTTGATTTTATGGTGCTGATAACGGGTGGATTTCCTTGTGAGGAATTGGTTTGATTTTTGGTTCTTTGTAATTCTGTGAATCTTGAAAGAGTTTTCTTATATCAACAACAATTAATGTTATGATTACGAGATAGGATTCTGGTGGGAATCGAACCTATGCTGTCACATAAAAGCGTAACAAATACTGGTTCTGTTAAATAACAACTTCGTCGCTGATGGCTTATTCTCACACTGGCAGATACATCATTTTATGACTTTATACCCCAGATTCTACTTTGCTCAGACTTTACAGGCTTTGATCGGATCTGTGATTATTCATCTTCATGGATATCAAGCTCTGATTGGACCTGTGACTACTTATCATCATGGATATCATTTGTTTGAGGTTTTTACAGGAAAAAGACATTTTATCCCGAGCGGCACAAGGTGGAGGGTGGTCTCCATATGGAATCCATATGAAAGCCACCTCCACTATGTGGGAAGTAAATGGAGGGTTATTTTTTCATCCTTCATATTGATTCCATTTGGATTCCATATGAACTCCGCTTTTTCTTAAATCAAATACCGAAAAACTCGTGCTTTTGAATTTTTAAAAGACAAAGGTCAGATCTTACTGTAATGGATTGAAATATTGTCGAAAAGCTTTACCGAATCATATTGCTTCATTTCAAGCTTTAAAAAAGCAAAAAAGGATAATTTTTTGTGATTTTGTATGAAATTACATACTTCACAAGCGCATGCAGAAATCACTATTATATGGGGTCGTTTAATTTGCATGAAAATTTTTAATAATTTCTTATGTTTCTCACGCGAGTGATCGAGACTTAGAAATTGCTGTGGTTGCGACTTAATTAAATTAAGTTGTAAATTTTTCAATAGTGTTAGTGTACTTTAATTAAGTCCACTAATACAGCTACAAATCTTGATATAAAAATTGCGAAACATAGAAAAACACGTGGAAAATCGTACCAAAAATCCTTTGAAAAATACTTCCATTAAACCTCCGTTTGACTCCCACAAATGGATCCTCCATCCTCCATCAAAACCTCTCAAATGACTTCCATTTGGTGTTAATAAATGCACGTCCCACGGAGGATTTTCGGAGCATTGGCTCCGTCAAAGTTCCATAATAGTAAGGTTTTCGGAAGATTTTCAAATGGAGGGTGGAACATGGAGGCTCCGTATAGCTTCCATATGGAAGGCAAATGGAGCCTTTGTGCCGCTCGGGTATCTGATCGTCTTGAACGGTCCTAGACTCTTTTTACACTGGATGTGCCTATATTGATAATATTTCTTACAGAATCCTAGTCCGCACTGTCAAAATAGGGATTCGATGTGTCCTTGAACATAACTTTGGCAAAAATACTGGAAATTCCCACCAAAAATCATGCAGACATGAAAATGGCTAGATCAACACAAGACTTTAGTCACAAACAAGACTAAAAGCTGATCGAACTCCCAAAAATTCCAACCAAAATCCCCACAAAGGATCAATTACTGAAAAAAAAAATTTTAATGAGATAAAGTGATATTAAAAGATGTCACATTGAGATAAATGCACTGCAGTCTCCTCCAGCTTTTTCCTTTTAAAAAATTCTTAATAATGTCGCCATCCACGTCTCATGTCTTCAACCTTCATTTCGCACAATTATATTTCATAATTTCTTTCTCTCCTCTTCCCTTTCGGCACCAAATGTTCATGTAAATATTATTGAAAGATTTCTTTTTCATTTAGTCAGTCTAACATATTTTTTTTGCTGTTGTTATGTTTCAATTCTCACTCGGTTGAGCTTGTTCTTTCTCAATATATTTAAATTTCTCTTCTTCTTATTTTTCAATTCACTGAATTGTGTTATATGTGTACATATACAACACACGGCGGCGACAGCAGCAAGCGACAGCATAAAAAATATAGAAAAGAAATAAAGAACATTGACGAAGGCGCACATTTTTACATATACAAGAGATCTTTGTGTTGCTGTATATCCGGGGCACGTGTTTTTGACTTTGCCTTTTTGTGTCTCCCTTCCTTCTCACTCTCTTTAATATAAACACTGTATTGGGGGTTGTTCATAAATGATGTATCACTTTTGTGTAAGATTGGGGTCTGCAACCAGGTGTGCAACACTTCAATGTCAGAGAGGCATGGGGACCTTAAATTCCATTTATTGATGCACGTCACATCACTTACGAACGACACCTCTGTAAAAGAGATGAAATGCAAATCTAATTGTCATCACCTACAAATAAAATGTGCCGCACGCGGGTTCCTTCCTTTCAAGATCTCAAGTCACTTACAGTCATATGTAGCATATGTTTCATTTTGTATTTATAGAACGTAAGTAAAATGCGACGACATTTAGCAGTGAATGGTAAATTATGACATACATAAAAAAAAAATTCTCAAATTAACATGAAACAGATTGATTCAAAACAGTTGTTGGTGTGTCTACATATATGTCTTATGTCTGAATGATTAAAATAATTTATTTTTCTTTTCCTCTCTTTACAGCACAATATCGATCACCGAGAATCACAGAACATCCGAGTGATATTCTAGTCGCCAAAAATGAACCCGTTACGTTAAACTGCAAAGCAGAAGGACGACCCGAGCCAGACATTGAGTGGTTTAAAGATGGAGAGCCTGTGAAAATTAGCACGAATGATAATAAGTCACATCGAGTGCTGTTACCATCCGGTTCCTTATTTTTTCTTCGGACTGTCCACAGTAAAAAGGAACAGGATGGAGGTGTTTATTGGTGTGTTGCCAAGAATTCAGCTGGAAAGACTTCAAGTCGGAATGCAACATTACAAATAGCAGGTAAATATGCTAGATAGCTAGTTTGATTTAGGTTGTGGGCTGTTTGTTGATTCGTGTTGCGATGGGAATAATAATATGTCAAATGTTAAGTTTGTGTCGATGAAGATAGATTTGTGCTGGTTAGAATGGGAATTAGAGAGAGACTGTGGGTGTTCGCTCCCTGTATGAAGGCTCTCCTACAAAATTTATAGAGAAATAGACGCTCAGTGTTTATAAGATAAGATTCCCAGAGTTCATGACCTAGTGCATGACAATATTCAATGCTCCATCACAAAATCTATTCTTAAACTCAAAGAATGGAATGTCCAATAAATCACGAACACCATCAACTATAAATAACCCGAACAATCCAACCCTTATTGAACTTGAAAAACATCAAAAATTTCTAATTCCAAAGCCTCTATCCATACCCAATATCTATAAATAATTTCATTTTAGTGTCAGAAAATATGTTTTTCATCCTCAATTCAGTTCCGAAAGACTAAACTACACAACAAAAGACACGACAAGAAAGAATGTTTCAATAAGGAAAAATTCATATTGAAAAATTCCAAAATGTCTCATCGAATGGCATTTTGTGTCTTTTCCCTTTCATTTTCATGCTTTAGTCATCGTGGCATGGAATTTATTGCACGACATTGAACAGTGAATTGCTTTTCAGTAACAAAGACAGTTCTTTTTCCCTTTAATTTCATGTCAGAGTGTTCAGAATGTTATGATGGAACTTCCTTTTATTACTCTGGGAGGTGTGCGGAAGTGATGTCTTATTTTCAATCGAGTAAAAAATTGAATATCTCAATAAGAGATTAGGTAGGAGGTACTTGCCTGAAATTTTTCAAGAAAGGGGTCTGGAACCTATCAGATGCTTTTGTGCTTAAACTCACTTCATAAGGATGAACAGAAGCTTCCAGGATTGTGAAACTTGATCTGTTTTATTCTTTTTGAGGTTATGTAGTGGTAAAGCAAGGAGCAGGCAACAAAAAAGCGAATTGTAAAGCTCATTAAAGACACAATTCAGTTACTAGTTCCAGTGCTTACCGTTACAAGAATATGAGTGCTTAGAAACTTCTAGAGCAGTACTATTAAGGACAAAGAGTCAAAAAATTTCATATTTTGATGGACGACACTTGCAAAATAGCCACCAGCCATCCTCTGTTCTGTAAAAATAATATTTTTTGTGGTTTAAAGTTTGCTCTTTTTCCGATAAACATACAGCACAAAAAAAAATTGGCAATCGATAACAATTTTCTGTCGAGAGGCACTTCAAAACAGACGAATGATGATCATCCTCGAGGAATCTGAGAATCCTTTTGTCGATGACGATGATTCTGTTTTTATGGCGCAACAGTTATCATCGTTTTTATGACTTGTTTCGTACTTACAATCGCATTCCTTCCTTAAAGGTTTATTTTTATTATTTTCGTCGACAGAGTGAGTGAAAAAAAAAAATATGTCGAAACACATAACATGTCGATGAGTTTTTATCATCGCCTCTTTCCCATTCTTTTTGGATTTTCGTTTTTATTATTAAATTTTCTTACACGCTGAATATTATCTGACATAGATGGTTTGAAGAGGCGCTGCAAAAAAGGGAATAAAAATGTTTTTTTCTTCCTTTAATAACGTCATAAATACGGAGGCGCAATAAACCTTCCATATTCTCTCATCTTCCTTGTATATCTTCTACTTATGCATTACCATGTTAGGGATATACGTTAGATACATGCTGCGTTTTGTGCTAAATCTCTGCTTCAGTCAATATTTGCTTCAGGCAATATTTTCTGCTTTACTTTTTATGTTGCTGTTGCTCTAAAAAAAGAAGTAAGAATATTATCAGAATAATATCACAAATAATTAAGCACATGCTACATATATTGCGTGCAGTGCCGCTCTCCTTTTAAAAAAATTACGTGAAAGAGTAAGAGAGAAAATTTTCATGTGAAGTGGCATCATGATATTCAAAAGTGCATTGGCAATAAATTTCAATTTCGAGATTTTTGGCGTGGGATACTCTTTTTTGAATGCATTTTATATTATGCAGTATGCTGCATAATGCATTATATTCATGCGAAAAAGAAGTGCAAACAATGAAGAAGAAGGATTGAGGTTGATGAAGGTTGGATGAATGAGAAGCATTTTTATTATGGGATTGGGAGGTTTGAGAATGGATGAGATTTAAATTGAAGAGGAATGTGGAGTAGATGAATGTGAGAATTGTTTGAAGAATAAGCTTTTGATAAGTTAGATAGAATGTAAAGAAAATTTAAATTTCTTGAAAATTTTCTCCACTTCGAAAAGTTTTTCTTAGAAAAATAGCACAAAAATTTAAAATATCCAAACTTCTGCTGTTTATTTGAATTTAAAAAAGTGGCAAGCATTAAATATAGCAAGTTTCAAAAAAATATCAGCCTATTATCGCAGAGAAAATGTCATTTTGTTAATGCTGTCCTCCATCTTGGATTTTTGATTTTTTAATATTTTTGAAATTTTTATTCATTTTATCTATCAAAGCTTAAGTCAAAGATAAAGCATTTAACACCCATTCGCTGGCAACATAGTTAATATACATTGAAAAATACTTTCGCACATTCTCAGAAGATCGAAGATGAAAAATAAGAAGAAAATTGCTCACTGCTTTATATATTTTTTCTAATATAAAATCTAATAGCATCTGACACTGACACATGTTGGCAAATATTTCTTCTCTCATTCCCATTACATTCACTTTACAGCATGCGCTTGCAATTTTTTGCAGCTACTGCAAAAGAGAAAGAAAAAAAAAATAAGTTTATAAATAAGGAAAAATTATTGTCGACAATTTGTTAGATTAGTAAATTGCCGGTAAATGCAATGCTTTTAATAAAATCCGCACAAATAATTCATATACACTATGTTTGCCTGCGTTCACTCGATTCTATTCTCTTGCTAATGGAAAAATCTCGTTTTTCATCGTCATCTCACATTTACGGATTTAAATGTCATCTTTGTGTGTTTCGCTTGATGTCTTCAAGCATTCACGACTGTAAATTAAAATCGATGTTGATTGGAATTGACGATAAAAAGCATTTTTGCTTTTACTGCATGTACATTATTCATGCTATAACAAATTGAGTTGCTTTATAGCACACACATGAATTCTGAAAACAAATTGAAATGTTGATGAAGATGAAACTGATGACGGTGATGAGTAGAGACATAAACCACTGTATGCGAGCATTTTCACTTCGTAATTAATTAGATGAAATTAATTATCATGGATATTCCCAAGCAGTTTCAATGTGAGGTCGAGGGTTGTGAACATTTTTTTAAAAAAGTTCTCAGAAATGAATAATTAGTGAGATTAAATTGAGATCTTTGAAGCTATCCGAGACATATTGAAGACTTTTTGATTAATTTCAGGGTGGATTTTACATGAAAAATTGTGGTTTCATTAAAATTTCATTTAATTATAAACTTTTTAATGGGAAATGTTCTTCGTACCTCAAAATGAAATGATACAAAATATAATAAAACAGAGGAAATGGAAATGATATGGGGAGGTTGGGGAAATGGAAATGATAAAGGAGAATTTTTAGGAACGAAATTAGGTCAAGTCATTTTGGATTCGACATTCATATTTTGACTAAAATTGGAATTCTTTATTTGGGATATTGTTATAAATTGGATCCCATATTTGGGTATGCATAAATTTGATGGGAATATTCTGAATATGGAATGTGGAACTAAGGGGAATGTGCTTCAAATTTTATTAGCTTTGAGTATCTAAATTTGAATTTTATGAATTTTATTCTAGAATGTTAAAATAAATTCATGTCAATATTTTTATTTTTTTTAAATTGTTTAAAGTTTTCACTTTCGAAAATCAAATTTTTACTTTCGAAATTCAAAATGTTCAACCAAAAAGATACAAAATTTTCACATCTAAACTAGAAGCTTATAACAAATAGAATTCGACATTATCTTATTAAATAAATACAAAACCTTCAAAACTAATAAATAATGTAAAAATCCTTTCAGTTTAAACTTCTATAAGCCAATTCCTTCACTTCCAATCATCAATTTAAATTATTAATGCCTTACTACAAAACTTTTCACTTAATATCTTCCCACTTGTTCCTTCATAATCCTTTAAACATGAAAATAAAACAAACTTAACGAGGCAAGTTCCTCCTCAAAAAACTCATTAAGATAATTATAGATCAAAATGAAGAAACATCAAAACATCATTAAATAATTCAACTAGCTAATTGCAAACTAAATAGCGAAAAATGTTTTGCCTCTCATCCCTTTGATTTTTGAAGAATTTTTATTATTATAAACTTAGAAATATGTGCTCCATCCTTTTATACCCATTTATCTACTTAACTCTAAAGTTCTACTGCTGTGCCTACGCTTTACTTAGTAATTAAAAGATCTTTTTACAAAAATTTAATAAAATGAAATTAATGAGCGAAAAGGAAATGTTAGATGGAGATAGAGGAACAAGCTAGTACACACAAAAAAGTATCAAGAATTTAATAAAATAAAACGAGAGAGAAATTTTAACGACATTGTATGCTTGTGCAGATCTATGAAAACATTGTAATAGCAACTTCTATGCCGGCGTAACAATTTAATTTTTGTAACAAATTTTTATGTCTCATTTTATTTTATTTTATATTTTATAACGGGAAGTTTTGAGTAAGCACGTGGTTTAATTTCAACAGTTTGTCGGGGATTTTTTGTGATAACTTTTTAAAAGAAGAATATATTGAGTTGAAACTTTTTATGGTTAACTCTTGCCACTTTTTGCTATAAGAAAAATATTGGTTTGACTTAAGAATTTGATTTTTAAGGTTTAAAAATCATGATAAACTTTTCGAGGTGGACATAATTTTTGAAGGTTTTTATACTTTGATTTTACTTAAAATCTGCAATATTTGAATAATCAATTCAATAAAGCTAGCTTAAATTAATATACAAGTTAAAAATGAGAATGTGAAAGTTGTAAATCTGAAAAATGCGTTTTACGGACAATCTCAAAAAGTGTCTTTCTTACTTGATTTTTTTTCATCATCATCATCTTATTCCATTCATTTATATCTTTTCGTTTAGAAACACTATAATCAAATTATATTATCAGATCTTCACACATGAAAAGCGACATAGAAAAAAAAACGAGAAGTTGAAGATAAAACTGATTATATGAATGTGCATAATAGACACATCTCTCAACAACTCTTCTCATTTACATAAAATTATGGTCAGTTTCGGGTCATAAAAACTGTGTACACAAGCATAACAATATTTTTTATTAGATTATAAAGCCATTGCCTTGTTGCTCATATATTTTATAGTTTGCTCGTTTTGCTTGATGTTTAAATTAGAGATCAAGTCGGAATTATAATGCAGCGCAAAATATAATAATAATTTTAAGCTCGAGATAACGAGATACAGCAGTATTACAATACTGATTTATTTTTGCGCTCTTGATTTCGGCACATTTTCACATTCATTCTCCCCATTATTTATATTCGCGCTGACTCAACTCCCAAGAGGCCTCGCTCTTCGTTGAGTGTTTGATATCCAAAATTAAGCAGCAGTAAAGTAGAATTTCGTTTCTGTGAAATTGAAACCTCATATCATAAAAATGTATAACGCTTAATTTGACTCCTCGCTGAATGACGGATGATTTTTTCCACTCATATTTATAACATATAATTTTCATAGAAATTTCCTTCTTCAATTTGAATAACGATTCAGAGTTGATAGGCCTTAGGGCTATGACTCAAAATTGTAGATTGAAGTTTGTTTTGAATTCAACTGCCTTAATGCTAATGATTAATCGATTTCCAGTTATTTTTTGCTTCATTCTCCGCTGTTCTCTGTATGTTTTCTGCTGCTTTATTTTAACAAGCAGCTCGACAAATGAGTTTTGACGCGCGCGCAAAAATTTCTAAGAAAGAATAGACGATAAAATGGAAAAGCATTAGAAGAAAGTGAAAGAGTTGATGGAGAATTGATGACTAAAGCGAATATTTATGGGAAAATGTTTAAGTTGTTTATTGAAAAGTTATTGAGATTGTTGTTAATTTTTGTAGAAGCCGATTGCTGGTTCCAACTAGTTCTTAGAAAAACTAAATCGTGACTGAGCAGGAAACAGATAGTGAGGACGTGAGGTTGAATGCTTTCAAGCTTCAATTTCTAGCAGCTAACATTTAAAACTAGAGTTGAAAATATTTTAAAAAAAATGTGTCCACCTCGAAAAGTATTTCTCAATTATGAAACCTAAAAATTCAAATTTTTAAATCAACCCAATATTTTTCGTGTAGAAAAAAGTGGCAAGCATTAAGTGCAAAAGGTTCCATCTCAACATTTTCATTGTAAATGTTAATGGTCAACGATAAGGAGTTAAATTTTGGTGACATGAAGTTGACTTTTTAAGAAATTAAGTGAATTTATGAAATTGAATCTTTTAACTTCGAGTTCAAATCCTCTCAACTCAAAACAACATTACTCCTCTTAAAATGGCCAAGAATACAACTTATTAATGTAAAAAAATAACCTTCGCAAATGAGCTTATAATTTTACCACAAAAAAATTCCTTTTGATCATTTCAATTTGACTTAATTTGCAAACATTTTCTCTTTTCTCTCAAGAGTTTTTAATTTATCGCTTTATTGTTCACATATAAAACAGGCCTATAATAATAATGATGGCTATAATTTAATCTTGTTATCGCTAACGAGCCACAAACAACAAACACACGAAAAAATAAAAAAAAAATGCTTAAAACTCATGGACTTAAAAATTTCTTTTCATTTATCTTTTCGCAGTTTTACGCGATGATTTCCGTGTGGAGCCAAAAGATACTCGCGTTGCGGCAGGTGAAACAGCATTACTCGAATGTGGTCCACCGAAAGGCAATCCCGAGCCGAAAGTTGAATGGAAAAAGGTAAGCAAAAACAACTTTTGACAAATTGGTAAAGAAAAATTATTTTAATATTTATTGAAATCCATTAATGTACACAGGATGGTGTCTGGATTGATTTAGATGATATTCGAAGTCGTAATAATCGACTGCGTATAGTCGATGGTGGCAACTTACTGATAAATAATGTGCAAACGATCGACGAAGGAAAATATCTGTGCGTGGCATCAAACATGGTGGCTAGTAAGGAGAGCGTGTTGGCTAAATTAACTGTCCAAGGTGAGTGTCAGTTGATAATAATTTTTTTTTGCCTTCTTATGACTCATAAACCAAACAACAATATAAAGCGCCCATTGTATAAATCAGCATGAAAATAAAGAAAATAATAAGAAGAAGTATAAAAAGATGTTTGGGTTGTAAAGAGAAGTAATAGACGTGGCTATAACAACATTTAATTAGAAAGAGATTTATGATCATTAACGACCATCGTTTATATTCGGTCACTATACGACTGTGCTGTAATATAACGGAATTTTTACTTCTTTCTTCGTAATTAAAGCATAAAAATATTGTAACTTTTTTTTTTGGTAATTTTGAGGAAGTAAGAACCTAGCAAATGGAAATTATTTCGCTATTTTTCCAAGAAAGGTCAGAATTTTTATATTTTTTCTTCACGGTATGCGACGAATTAAGCAGAAATGAGAGCTGAAAACTTTTTTTATTGCCTATTGTGAGTGTGATTGCTTGTTTTGGAGGTAATTTAAGTGTGATTTGGTGTTTTGATACTTTTCGGTGGTGTCGTTTTTAAGACAAAGTTGAAAAATTATTTCTATGGAAGAGGAACTTTAAGTTAAAAATTGATCTGGGTTCTAAGGTTCGTAAGGTTGGTCGTTAGTTGAGCAAATGCTCTAGAAATTTAAATGATTTTTACTGACGAGTCAAAGCAATTCCAATTTTCATTTAAATTCCTTGTCAATGTTGTAAAAATATTTTGAATGTCAGCTAATTTTCAAATTTATGCTTTGAGCAAGGTTCATAAAATATTGATGTTGATAGTGTTTTGACCTTAATTCATATTTTAATAGAGTATTTCAGCTCAACCAAGATTAAAAAATCTTGATTAAATTGCATTTAAATTGAATAATTGTTTTTTTTTCGCTGGTAAATGTTGACTAGAATTAGATCTAGAGCTTAATTACGATTAAAACATTTAAATAAATATCAAATCAACTTTTTCTTATTAATCTTGAATCATGCTCGAGTTCTAAGATAATTAATTACTTCGCTGTACTTCAGTAGGAAGTGTTAAGGCGTTGGTTTCAACGATGCAATATCATTTGTCGCAGGCTTAAGTGTGAGGATATGTAAGTTCAAGTTCTGTTCAGATTTATAAGTAAATTATTTAAATTCTTCATTTGACAACATTCAATCCATATTTAAAAAGTCTTAAACTCAATATTGTTGTCTCAGTTTCCAAACCACTTGTCAGTCCACACAAGATGCCACAAATTTCAATCTTAAAAATCCACTAGGATGTTATTAATCCAATGAGCTCATACCCATCATAATCATAAAAATATCACAAACATTTTGACACTTCATGATTGTCTTCAATACTCTTCTTTTGGATATTCTCAATAAAATTCAAATTTTATACTTATAATCTGACAATATTCGTTCATAAAATCAATAATTTTTGTTAAAGATGTAAAAATCTGGTTTATGACAATGGAAAATTTCAGTTTCTTCACAGCCAACAAAGACTCGACCTTGATCGAATTTCGCGAAAAAGAGATTTCTAATCCATATAGGAAGTTAAAAAGAAAAGTAAATGAAGTTGACGATTAGAAACTTTCAACGCTGATAAAGTTCAGTCTTCTGGATCAATCAAAAATTAGTCTCATACATATTTAATTAGATTAATCCAATTTATGGCAAAGAAGAGCCTGAATAATCTAAATATTTCATCGATTCGCCTCATATCAAGTCTTAATGATGTAAACTTGCTGACATTCAGCCGATTAAAATTTTTTTCCTCCTTTTCAATCTTCTTAAAAGCCATAAAAACTGTCCATAACACAGACTTATAATAAAAAAAAAATTGTGAAGGTATATTCATATTTTTATAGTATTTGTTGTTATGTCTAAGTGGAAACGAAGGAGGTGAAATTAATGAGTTTTTAAAAAGTCATAAAAAAAAATCCCGAGCGGGGAAGTGAAGTTTATTATTGCTGAGTAATCGGAAAGTAATTGAGTGAAACGGAATTATGATCCAGATGTGGAATTGATGAGTATTTTGGATGTCGGAATGGGAAGATAATAAAGTTTGAATTTTGAATTAGGTGTGAGAGAAAATTTGAACATTTTTGATTTAGGATAATTTATATTTTAGGTAGCAGGGATATTTCTAAAGAAGCCCCTGAGCATTAGGATCCATTGGTTCAAGACCAGACATATGCTTCTCGGTATATCTTCCATTTTTCTCAAGAATTTGTATCTATAAAATATTTTTAAAATAATTTCACCGCTTTAAATCTTTCGCAAATGTACCAGATTAGGTCTATCGTCTCGCTCCATCTGGAATCGAGCTCGAAAATTGTCGGTTGTTTGCAAAATGAGACAATAAATTATTGTATTAAGTACATTGAGTATAAAGATTCGTAGAGATAAGCAATTAAGTATTACAATTATGATGCTTAGCATCTAAAATTGAGACTATCGCTCATGTTTAATCTCTGATTACAAACTGCTGTTTATTTGCTTTTATGACTTTCTAGTATCTTGGACACAAATTGTGCATAAAGGAGAGATAGAGAAAAATCACAAGGCGGTCAATTATTCATAATTCATACTTTTTTTTATAGCCAATTGCTGTCTCACTCGCAGTTTATGTTTACTTCTATTGCCAAGAGCAAAATTATTGTTATTATTTTATCTTGCTGGATATTTCAGTTAATGGCGCTGGAAGTTAATTTTACAATTACATGCTTGTGCACATTTATTTGCGTTATTTAATTTAAAACACATTTCGCGGAAAGAGTAAGAGCTTGAGATATGTGGATAGAACAGAAGAGAAGTAAGAGGAATTAATGTTAAAGACGAGAAGTCACCGGGGGCTCTTAATGCATTTTCACATAAATCTCACTTCTTTTTTTTAGCTTGGCTTTTCTTTTTTGCTTGTGCTGTTTTTAAGTGAATGTGCTTCTAAGCATACGTGGATGTATGAGAAGTGTATGAAGTATGTATACTGTGGCATTGTTGGAATTATGGAGCTGTTTTTGGTGCTTTTTAAGAGTCAAGGGGTTTAAGAAATATCCTGGTATCTAGGAATATTGCTAGGTGTTTTTTGGATCAACAGAAAATTTGGAGAGGGTTTTTCGGATGTTCTATCAAGAAACTCTTAGCAAATTCTAAAAATCCCACATTTGGAAGAGGTTTGGATCAAACATTATTGATTCTAAACCCTCCTTGATCATACTCTAGACAACACACCTAAGTTTAAACTTAATTCGAACTAGGGTTGGTCTAGAGTTGCACTAGGGTTGCTCTAAGGTTGCTCTAGTGTTACAGTAGGGTTCCTTTAGGGTTGCTCTATATCATAACTTTGGTAAGTCTTAGATTGTAAAGCTTAAAGTTGTATTTTACTTTATCCAAAAATCATTCGAAATCAAACAATTATTGGAAATCTATCAAGCTCAATTTTCTCTTACAAATCCTTTAGTCTGAGTCTCAAAAGACAGAATCATCTCAAACATGACAGATTTAATTCCCCAACCTCCCTTATTCATCCAGAAATCTACATTACAAATCTCTTATCTCACAGAATATTTTCCATCATTTCCCTCGACTAAGTCCTGATCAAAAATTCTGCTTATAGTTGCAAAATCAGCTAAAACTGACTCCCGTGAGAGAAAAAATTCTCCAACTTTTTATTCCTGCTTTTTTTTTTGCACAAAATGCATTTCTTACTACACAAGCTCTCATGTTTTATTATGATTTTATTTTCTTATGCACTTTCTTCTACTAGTTTTGTAGATGTCTGACTCGAAAGCTTCGTTAGCATTTTCCTCATTTTTCTCCTTGTTCTGCAAAGTCTCAAAAAAGAGAAAACTTTAATTTGACAATAAAAGAAGATAAAGCGTAACGACTCCCCCGACTGCATTATGATGGCATTTTTGTGTAGTGTTTGGATCTGTTAGGATGGCTCGGTTGAATGATTAAAGGAACAAAAATGTATGAAGTAAAATTTGTGCATTTCTAGCGAAAATATAAAATTTCCTTTATTTTTAACTTCGAGACTTAAAATAAAGAAAAATCGTTTCTGTAATTTGTTAGATGTTGTGGAAGAATGTAATGATTTTGAGAGAAATGCGAAGGAATTTATTTGACTCGGGAGGAATAAGGAGTTTTCTAATTTAATTCCACTGAAAAATGGAAGTCGATAAAATTTTAGAAAATTGGGGAGTTTTTTGCGATTTATTTAAGAAGGGTGGATGACAATGAGGGGTGGATGATGGAGTTTATTGTTCTAGAGAGGGGAGAGTAGACTTAAAGAATGGGAAGATAAAATTTTAATAAATAAAAGAGCGGATTTAGATGAACCTTGACGAGAGTTTAGGATTATTTCTGAAGATTTTCTTCCTGATTCTCAAAAGGAACGTTTCCATCTTAAAGAACCATCATGGTTCATAGGTTGGTTCACTTATCATATAGCTCAACATTTAGAGCTCCTTACACCCATTCTTCTCTATTGTCACGCATGAAGTAAACAACCTCCAACATTTATGCCAGTTTTTTTGCTATTAACATGCATGGCTCTGTCCTCTCTTAGGGTCACCCTCCCAACAAAGACCTACACAAAAAAGAATTATCCGTTTTTAGGCTTGCCACTTTTCCTAGCTTCAACAGAAGTGGATATGTGATGAAGTATTTAGAATCCTACAGTTGACACTAAAATCAACTTTTATTACTATTTTAATACTTTTAACACTGTTTATTGACTGTCAGGATCAGATGCATGCCTGTCCTCCCCAAAACGACCTTTTCAACAATTTTCAAACCACCTACGTGATTTTTATGGCCTATTTCAAGTTCAATAGTCTCAAAAATACTCAAATCTCCATTAAACAACATTTCCACAAACTACAAGAAGCACAAAAGAAAACTTTTTTCATCTTCTCCTTGAGCCATGACAGTAGAAACCTTTTTAATAATAAAAAGGAAAGTTAAAAGGAAGCAAAAAAGAAATTTTCATCTCAGACTCGAAAAGAAAGCGATCT